AGACCTAGTTTTTGTAAGGACCCCTTTGTGCTATGCTACCACATAATTTCCTTAATTTCATCACAGGATTATTTTCACAAGTTCTGCTGTAGGAAAGATACCAAACTCCTGAAAAACAGCTATAGCCTTTTCTATAGGAACTATCTGCAACAAATTATGTAAATTATATTGACTTCTGGTTGTCATTATTAAACATTTAACTTAGAAATTATAAAAAAGGAGCATGCAAAAATTATGTATTCAACAATTACAATTGGAAATGAGTGAAGCCACAAAAAACAAAAGTAGAAATATAGATAAAGGTAAGGATGTCTCTTTTCTTACCGAAAAAGGCTCCAAAAAATTGTGGCTCGAATTAACTGAAAAGTATGAAATTACAAGCATTTCTTTGTTTATATTATTTTCTTAAATAATGGCTAATCTTTTTAATTAATGTCTAAAATATGTGAAAAATTGTTTTTGATAATGAAATAGACTTATCACATAAATTAATTTATCACATAAAATTAAATTTGTTCATTATTTGAATTTTTAATAACTTTTCATTTCACTAGCATTCATATCAAGAAATTTAAGAGAAATTAGGTCTAGAGATAGCTTTACTGTAATAGGATTTTCATATTTAATGACGCATGAGGCTAGGAGAAACTTCTCGGAGAAAGAAGCTTCTCATTTTTCTACCATTAGAGCTTCCTAGCCAAAACATGTTTTGCTGGTACCAATGTCCTAGCTAGCTACACAGAACCAAACCAAAATTTTAGTTTGTTAATCGAACCAAAAATGTTTTGTTTGAAGCTTCATCCTACCGCAGGATTTCTCGAAAGAACTGCACTTCTGAAACATCAGCCATTCAGATAATCTGAAAAGAAAAACTCCAGAAAATGATGTGTTGTTGAGGTACTTTGAAAATATGATAACAATTTAAGTAATAGTATTTTTTGCTGAAATAAGTTATTGTTTAAAATCTGAAAAATATTTATTAAAATAGTATATACAGTACAAAGTCCGTAATCTGGACTCGTTGGGACTTCGGCGATTCCGGATTATAGATCATCAATTTAAATCTGGTAAGATGGCATGCAGAAATTATACAATTAACAGGGTTCGTAGTGGTCCTTATAAGTGCTTATAAGTCCTTATATTTGAAAATAAAATATAAAGGTCCTTATAGGTGCTTACTTTTTCTTTAAAGCCCTTATTTTTTGTTTTTAGTGCTTATTTTTTGCTTTTAGTGCTTTTTTTTTTTTAATGAACGCGCTATTTTCCTCCGTACCAAAGCCGAAACTAAATAAACAACTTTTCTTCCTAATATGGAATGTCAGATGGTGAGTCATACTCCCGGAAATAGCTTTCCCCCCTTTCTCTGCATTAACATAAACTTTGGTGTGCAGGAAGAGTACAGACAGGTGCCCGTCGTTCTATTGGTCAAAGAATTGCGAAAGCATTAGAAAATTCCGGTACATTCGGCATTCTTTTCCTCCCACCCAAATACTACACCTTTTCTATAGGAAATTTGTTTGAATAATAAATAATGTTTAAATACGTTTGAATTTCTATCAAGATCTTAATAATTTGCATTCTCGTTCTGCTTGGTCGGTTCATATTCGTGTTTATTATGATCGTTATGCTTATATTATGAGCATATGTGTGAATGTTTATAATAACATAGTTGCAGTAACTGCTGAAGTATAGTAAACTTCCAAAAATGGTTGTGTTTTAACACAGATTTAGCTTTCTAAGGAATAATATTCGGAATAGCTTACATAAAGGAAAAAGTAATCGAATAGTCAAAATAATTTCATTTTTTTTGGCCAATACATTATACAGTACGAAGATTGGGAGGTTTTCCTCTTTCTCCGGAAAATCTCGAGTATTAAAACTTGTAACGGTTTGCTGCAAAACAAGCAACGGACTTTTTTTTTTTTTTTTTTTTTGTCACTTTCCAATCTGGATTGAATAGGACTAAAAGTTTGCGCGGTCTACCAACCCAAGCGAAGAATGATTCTGTTCCGGAAATTTAAAATTTCAACTGTCTGTTGAAAATTAGAATGAAAACTACCCCAGTTATTTAGTTCTTTATTCTCCCAATACCGGCAGCTGCTGATTCCGATTGCGTAATATCACGTAGGGAAGAATTACGGAGCACGTATTGCGCAATAATGTTTGCGATATTTTGCAGAGAGAATTAATGATCTGTCCAAAATTTGTTTATGAATACTTAAAAGAGTTTTACTGTGCTTGAATATTTTTCAGTTCCATTGGTTTATTTTTATATGATGCACATATCGAAATGTCAAAAGCGTTTATTTAGCGGGAAAATCTAAAGAGCGGCTACAGTCTACCCCCCCCTTCGCTCTTCTTTTTCAAGTTACGCTCGACTGTCCGAATATTCGCCAATTTCCAAGTGTGCGGGTTAGTTAAGCTTTTACTGTTAAAGGATGACTGCATGCTTTTTTACTTAAATTACTTTGCTCGCAATATCTGTTAAGGGAAAACTGATATACAATGAAAATTTAGAATTAAATTATTTAAATATCAATATTAGTGGAAAAATAAATTGTATTTATTATTAGGTTCCAAGCGAATACAATAAATATGCCTTATTATTATTTATTTTCTCTAGGAACTGAAATTTCATCATTAAATCTTGTAATATAGTTTAGTTCTGCATAGTTTTTTTTTTCTCTTATTGTAAACTAGTTCTGTAAATTGAACTGTTATTTAATTTAAAAAAGTAATTATTTTCCATGGTTGAGGTAATACTTATTCTCTCTTAATAAGTACTGCATTTCTCATATTTTAAATTACAATTATAATTTTTAAGGTTATGCAGTTGTGTATAATGTAATTAGACAGGTGTTAATTTTTTTTTTCTTAAAATGTACTTGAAAAGTGCTTATAGGTGATTATTTCTTTAACTAAAATGTGGCTATGAACCCTGATTAAAAATATGAAACCATAATTTATGAAATAAAAGCAATTATGATCTAAAAAGTATCAAAATTTACAAAACAAAACAAAAAAAAAAGCTTAATATTTATTCGTTTGCTTTATTAAACATTTCTTTCAATGTAAGCTGTTTAAGTTGCTTCGTTTTTTGTGTTGATACTTTTTCTTTAATTCTATAAACAGACATAATTTCTTGTTCAGTTACAAAGTTCCGCTGCTCAAGTCCTGTAATTGCTGTATCGAGAATACCGACTAATTCGTCAATGGAAATTTTTTCATTTTCAGTAACCTTTCACTATTGGAAGTGGTATTTTCTGGATCTAGAATCATACTACAGGTTTTGCTGTCCGTTAATTGATTGATTATTGGGGCATTCTCGTCGCAATGAAAAACTTCTGTTATATCATCTTCACTTATTACCGCTTCTCCACGTTTCTTTACAAAATCCAATAAATGGAAAATTTCACCTTTAGTTTGCGATGTCCGAAAATCTTCAAATTTGTGGTTCCAGTGCCATACTTCTCGCATAATTTTGAGACAGATATGCCTTTATCCATTTTTTGCAGCAATTCCACTTTTTGTATGGAATTCGAAACTTGCTTTCACTTTGTAGATCCTTTGGCAGCTTCAGAATAGGAAACTCTTTTTGACATAATCGAAGGTTCAAGCTTAATTTTTATAAAATTGCTCTAACAGTCTACAAAAATAATAAGCTGGGTCCAATTAGAAGATTAAGGAACAGCGCAATCTGCAACATTAACTGAAATGCCTTGGAATCAGTAAAGATAATTTTAGCCTATCTTATACCGTCCATTATACATTAAATGCGCATGCATAAAGTATATAAAAAAAAAATTTGTGGCTTTGAGGTTCGGATTATAGATCATTCCAGACAATAGATGTCTGGATTATGGACTTTGTACTGTATATATATTTAATGTAAGAAAAGCTTATGAACTAAACAAAAAGGACCTGTGAGGTCAAGAATTTTGCGCATTGAGCTGCAAAATTTGAAAATAAAATTAAAAAGTAATTCCTCAAGCTATAGCCTATGTGTAAAGTATAAGCATTTTGATGCACGCATCCACTATGCATGTGCGTAAAGCCAATAAAGTGTTTACACATGCGCGCTTCCGATAGTGAAGAAAGTGACAGAGAGGTTATTGAAAACGAAAAAATTTCGATTGACAAGTTAGTCGGTATTCACGACACAGCAATTACAGGATTTGAACAGTGGAACTTCGTAACCGAACAAGAAATTATGTCTATTTATAGAAGAGAATTAAAGAGAAAGTATTAGCACAAAAAATGAAGAAACTTAAACAACTTACATTGAAATAAATGTTTAATAAAGTAAACACATAAATATTAAACTTTTTTTTTTTGTAAATTTTGATACCCTTTAGATCATAATTGCTCTTTATTTCATAAATTAAGGTTTCATATTTTTAATTGTATAATTTCTGCATGCCATCTTACCAGATTTAAATTGATGATCTATAATCCGGAAAAAACCCTAATCCAGAATTGCCGAAGTCCTGATGAGTCCAGATTATGGACTTTGTACTGTATAAACACATAGTATATATAATATATATACATATTAAAATATTTTACATATCTCCAGCAGAAAAAATTGGCAATTTTAAAATGTGCATTTAAAATGTAATTTTCATAATTAAGATAATTTATAGGATATGATGAGAACTTACTGAAGTATGTTTGTGACTAGTGCATAACTAGTATTTTGCGACTAATATAAGTAGTTCTGCAGTTATTAATGAATGTATGAAGAAGACTTCATCTCTTTTATGATATGTTTGTTTGTCACGGTTTCATTTAAAATTTTGAGCTGCATATATTGACAGTGGAACATTGGAACCTTTATTTAACCGAGGTCTGTGTAAACCAAGCTAGCAATTAGTTTAAAGAAATTATTGGAAAATGTAGTATCAAAAAGGGTAGAAGATGATATTAGCAAAGCACATGTTATGATTATTTTATTTTTTAATGTATAGAAATATTCTTAAGATAAATTTTGTTTCTTTCAGGTGGTATTTTGGAAGCATATTGGAATAAAATTCGAGATGAAGGATTTACAGTTGATAAGAGCCAGCTGAAAGTTGCAGAAGTTTTAGAAGGTCTGCAAGAACAGCTCAAAACTTATCAAGTCTCTAAACCAAACTTATTCTCTAAAGTAAGATATTATTATTAACTAAAAGGGATATTAGTCTCAAAATGGCATTTTGCATTGAATCACTATAAACAGTGTATCACTTTTCAGATTATTGGGCCACCAGATATTATCACCCTGTATTATATTTTAAGAAATTAAATAATGAATCTGCATGAAGGTGTACATGTTTCTCACATTGTAAAAAAATAAATAAATAAAATTGGTACCTAAATCCATCAAATTTTGTATAATGCTGTCCTCCACCCAAATATGGGCACCTGGAAGCTCGAATTTTGAATTTCGAATATGTTTTATCATGTATTTCATAGATTATAAAACTTTAATGAATTTTTTATTAACAAACTCAACAATTTTAAAGCAAGCAGTAGCAACATTGTATGGGGAAAAAACATTTTTATCTTCAGCGTGCAAAACTGTGTGCCAGAAATTTTAAAGCTATACTGTTTTTAAATATTTTGTGATTTTCTTGTCGAATTGAATTTTCTGTGGCATAAGCACAAGGAGTGTGATATTTAATAAATAAAGTAAAGGCCCAAAGCATTAATAATAGAAAGAAAAAAAAAAGTTTTGTGAAGCTATTTTAGTAAGAAAACTGAACATTGATTTGATAATCCGAGAAAAGACTGAAAAATGTATGGCAACACTTAACACTGCATCGGGAATTCTAAATGTATGCAGCTATGCTTCTTTTAAAATTTTTGTAATTTTCCTGTTGACTTCTATCTGGCATAAGTTTGAAGAAAATGATGCTTAATAATGATGCTAAAAAGACCCCCTTCCCCAAAAAGAGTTAGTAGGTACGAGTGTAACAGCAGACTGGTAGACTGTGAGCTCAGCGAGAGCACAAAAAACCTTAACAAACCCTTTGGGGCAACTTTTAAAATCTGAAACATTTCAGAATTTTAATTTTTTTTATATTATTATGCTTGTTCTTGATCAAAACTTAGAAAAATGCATACTTTTTTTATACCTGCATCTTTTACAATAGCTTCCAACATAGTGTAGCACAGAACCTACGAGTGGCCTGCAATAAAACTACTGAATACCAAGAGTTTGACAAGGACTCAAATCCCTTGGTAGCCACTAAATACATTGGATTATCCTTAGAATTTATCACATTGGCTGGTGTCACATTTTTGAATTAATCCACTGTTATCTAGGAGAATATGAAGAATGTTTCTAGATGAAAAAATATATGTCTTTTTGGAAGATAATTAGTCAATTGTTTATCCCAATGTTCTGTAGTTAATTATCATTTGAAGCATTTAAAATGTATTCAGTTTTGAAAATTCAGTTTGGATGGTTTGTGAATTTCACTATAATTTTAATGTATCAATATCACTGTGGTACATTAAAAAAGTAGAAAATAATGCAGAGTAATCTTTTATGAAAGCACCTCTGAAAAAAAAAAAATGGCCAGTATTCCGAGAACATAAAAATTGAATCTTCTTTTCATAGAGGCACAAGCCCACCAGCAGCCGAGCGGTAAAGTCGCTGAACACTGGTAGTTTGGTCCGAGGTTCGAATCCCGCGAATGAGCTGGCTGCTAGGGTGTTTTCGTGGTTTTCCCCATGTGTAACATGTATACGAGCCAATTGCCCTTAGAAAGTCCTCCATGAACCACCATCCTCATTTGTAAAAACAGCAGTTTTACAGCTGAGGATGGTGGTTCGGTAAAACCATCAAAACTAGTCCTGTGAAAATTTTGTAAATATAACGCTGATTTTTGTTGTTTCATTTCTGAATTTGTATTTATTCGACATGTTATTGTGTCTTAATTATGTTTCAGAATATTTAGATTTGTATTAGTTTTTCCTTAAAATTCAGTTCAGACTTTTTCAGTCCCCCCCCCCAAAGATCTGATTGCCACTGTCATGAAGTTGGCAGTTACATATCAAGAACAAAACTCTTAATCTACAGTGCATAGGTGTTTGGAAATGAAACAATGAAGTTTTTTTTGTGGATGTATTTTACAAACAATGCTCAAGAGGTATTTTCATAAAGTAAGAATGCACATGTCCATAGAACTCTAGATATTTCACTGAGTGATAATATATTGCTTGAAGAAAATGGTGATGCCATTTTGGAAACTGGATGATATACAAGTATTAATTAAATATTATATCACCAAAATGAGGGTTTGTATTTACTGTAGTAGAAACCAAATGGCAAATGAAATAGTCTATCTAATTACTTTGGTGGAGACTTAGCAGGGATGATGAAGATTTCAAGAACCATGAATAAGCATTCCTTCCTGTTATTTAAAAGAATTGTAGTTAAAGAATTCTTTCTGTAAATGTAATTTTGCAATGATGCGTGTATGCTGTTTTAATCTTTTGTGGCTAATTTGTTTCTTTTTTACCTCCCACTAACCTACATACATAGGTAAGGGAGATAACGTTTTTAGTTCAAAAATTCTGTAATGAGTATTCAGTGGATATACGTGAATTAGGGTCCCCTGCAAAATGTTTTTACTATTTTTAGATGTCTGTTTGTCTGTATGTGTATGATGATTTTTTTCTTCTTTAATAACTTTTATATCAAACTTTCAAAAAAGACTGTTTTCTGTATTTAAACTTCGTGTTTTCATACAAAGAGTTGATTAGGTTTTAGGTAAAATTGGACAGCATGAAACAGTACTTTACTTGAAGCCCATAACAAATTTTGTTAGGCAACCAAATAAAAGTACTTTACTTGGAACTATTAGCAGATTATCATGAAAAGAAGTAGAACCATTATGCTAAGATTTTAATTTAAAATAAGAAAGCACATACCAAGATTATTTTATAATATATAACCATGATATTTATTTATATCGAGCCGTAGAAGAGAAGCACTGTCATAAAAATCAAACAATGTTTCATGTGCAGAGCTTCAAAATTCTTAAAATGCAGGCATGTTACCAAAAAATGCACTTCTTATTCTTATGCACTGTTGATGATTAACAAATCACAAGAGAATATAGCAAATTCAATAACACCTATTGCTTTATCTTTACTGATCCCCGAATGCATGGTAGTCACTATTCAGTTGTAAATCCAGTAACTAATCAACATTGTTTACTGATATACCTAAATATCACAGAGATATATGTACACATTAAAATGAATTTGAATTGATGCTACAGTCAAAATTCTTTAATCCGGAATGATCTATATAATCTGTACCTCAAAGCTACAAACTTTCTGCACATGCGTAAACGCATGCGTAAACGCATGCGCATAATACGCATTTAATGTATAACGGTCGGTATAAGCTAAGCTAAAATTATCTATTTCAGTTAATGTTGCAGATTGCGTTGTTCCTTAATCTTCTAATTGGATCCGGCTTATTATTTTTTTGCAGACTGTTAGAGCAATTTTATTAAAGTAAGCTTGAACTTTCGATTATGTCAAAGAATTTCCGATTCTGGAGCTGCCAAAGGATCTACAAAGCGAAAGCATGTTTCAATGTTCATCAAACAAAAAGTTTAATTGCTGCAAAAAATGGATAAAGGCATATTCTTTGTTTCTCTAACCATTCCGAAATCTTTTTATCAATTTCACGCTGCTCTGCGGGGGAAAGGGTGACGTTGTGGCACGCAATGAACTGGAAGTTCATCTGTCAGCACTATCCTTATCTTCAGGGCAGATGTTTTTATTTTATTCAGCTTAGAATTCCTTACTTTATTTTATTTAGAATTCTCCTATATGTAAATTCATGTATATCTTAGTAATTTTTTGCAGGTATGCCTGGAAATATATCTGCTTTAAAGCAATGTTAAAAGTTTTATAGGTTATAATACAAACATGTTTTCGAAAAATTTATAAAAAATATTTTAAAATATAAATTTTAGAAAAAGTCATAAAAAATGTGTGAATTATATTTGGATTAAGCCTAAATTTCAAGATGCAAAAATTCAAGAGAACTGCTTCGAACCAGAGGGAGATCTACCCCCGAACTTTTCTAGAATCATCCTGATTCTATACTGTACTGTTGAATGAATCATTCCGATTCAGTAAAGGTTTGAAGAGAGTTATCCTGATTCTGTGCTGTTGAATGAATCATCCCTATTCAATGAAGTTTGAAAAGACTCATCCTGATTCTGTGAAGTTTTGACTGAATCATCCTGATTCAGTGAAGTATGAAGAAAATTATCCGGATTCTGTGTTGTGTGATGAATCATCCCAATTCAATGAAGTTTAAAGTGAATCATCCCGATTCAGAAATGTTTGAATGAATCATTCTGATTCAATGAAGTATGGAGGGCATCATCTTGATTCTATGAAGTTTTGAATGAATCATCCTGATATCAAAAATATATTATGGTCGTGTCAAGGCTTCTTACGAACCAGAGTACTACGAGGGTTATCCAGAAAGTAGATTACAATGATAGGAAACAAATTTTATTATATACAGATGAAAGAATCATCATACAGAAATTCGTAGCGATGTAGCTTGGCTGTCGAGAATCACTTCGCGATTGTAACTGAAAGTTCCGAAATTGTGGAAATTTCGAACGGACTTTAGCATCACTTTTCAGAAATGCGGCACTTATGCTATCTGGTTCGATCTTTCGGTTCCGACGTCATGTCCCCATACACTTCACGAAGTGCACGGCTTCTTAAGACTGAGCACCTCGCAGCTCGCGGGCAAATTGATTTAGTCACAGTATGCACAGCACGTCACTAGCACGCTTAGACAAATACTACGACGTGCCTCGTATTTGCAGACCAAACCAACGTATTTCTGACTCTTTGCTGAGACGTCGTACGAGCCAGAGGGGGAGTCTGTAACCCCACAGCTCAATGAGCGCCACTTTGCGGCCACTGGAATAAACACCAGTCAAAAAAAAAAAAAAAAAAGACTCTTATCTTTCAGTCGATGTACGGGAATCATGAACTAAACATGCTGTTTTTCCGAGATTTACTTTGTAACTTAAATGTGTAATTATAACATCCTTAATTGTAATGTTTTATCTTTATTGTGTTTTGTTAATTAAAACTATTTAAAAAGGCCAAGTGAGTCTTTTGCTTATGGTTGTTTTGGTTATACTACTGATTTTATAAATGTGGGAGTGGCATAAAAGTAATCACCAACCATTGCCGACTTTGCAGGAACACTGGGCAGATAACACAAAAATACTCTTAAAAGCTGATTAAAAGAAATCAAGAATTTAAAAATTGAAAGAATGCTAACAAGTAGTTGAGCAAAGTATTGTTAATAAGACGAAAAATAAAATTAGAGTAAATGGCATATAATTAAAATGAAAAAGCATCCAACAGATTTTGCTCCTAAAAGGAGTAATTTTTATGAATAATTACTTAAAGCCCATTAGTTCCTGTTTATATTTAATGAAAAATCAAGTATTGGTAATGTGTTTTAAGTGAAACTACTAGGAAGTCGAGGCCAAACTAAAATTAAGAACTTTCAGTTATTTTAATTGCTTTATTTTTAATATGCTTATGCAAATGAATAATAATTTGTAAAATAAAATTTTAATGAACTTTAAGAAGATAAAATATATGCAGAGTTGAAATATGTCCGAATGATACAAGTCTCTAAATAAATGAAGTTAAATTTATTTTAAACATGATAGTGCTTTCTATTATTATTATTATTATTATTTATTTTTTATTTATTTTTTTTTTTTTTAGAATATTTTTATATTGTTTTATTCATTTCTTTTGAAATGCCAAAAATTTGCAGAACATCACAAAATCAGTTAATATTTTTATTTCAGATGTTTGGAGCAAGAAAAGAAAAGCCTCCAAAAGGCATGTATCTGTATGGATCAGTAGGTTAGCTGCTTTTTCCTATAATAAATATATAGATAGGTAGCCAGAGATGTGCACAGTATAAATGAATAATATAATTAATTATAATTTATAGTTATTGATTGAGCAGTAAATCATACTATAGATTGAATTAAATTTTGCATTTTAGGTTGTGGGAAGACTATGCTAATGGATTTATTTTATGAACGCTGTACTCGGGAAAAGAAGAGAAGGACTCATTATCATTCCTTCATGCTAGATGTTCACAGTCGTTAGTATGATTTAAAATTTAAATGCTTTAGTAAATTTGAAGTTTTGTTTTTCAACTTCATGTATTTAAAAAAAAAATTTCTCACCCTGAAATACAGTGAATTCAAATAAAATTATCTTGTAATAAAAGCTCTTAGTAAATAGTTAGCTGTTAATAAATGGGAATTTTTTTCTGTAAAATTTTATGAATATTTTATTTTTCATATTATTGAGGGGGCAAATGCTATCAAAGGCTAAACAAACATTGTTCATCGTTTCACAAATATTTGGTAGGCCACAAAATTACTTCATTTTTATTAAATGAAAGTCTGTAAATTAATTATGCTTTACCAGACTTTTAAAAGAATATTTGAGATTTAAGGCTGTTCTTAATTTAATCATACTTTGTGCGAAATAAACCAATTTAAAAAATTTTGCATTCTAAAATGCACAGTTACTATGCTTCATTCATTAGTTTTAAAAATTATCTCTTGAAAATAAATGTGTTGTTTTTCTTTTCTTTAGGAATACATGAATATAAAAAGAGAACATTAAAGCAGAAGACTGGTAAAAAATCTCTTGATTATGATCCAATTGCACCTGTGGCTGAGGCAATCTGTAATGAAACTTGGTTTTTGTGTTTAGATGAATTTCAGGTAAAATTGTTTATATGCAGAAAGTCTGTAATAACAATTGTTATTTTAATCCATTGTTTTCTGAATTAAAAACTTAAGAAAATAACAGAAATAAGATTTAGTGCTTATGTTTTCAGTAAACAAGGGCTGTAGATAGACAAGCTGCAATATATTGTTGCTACGCTTAATGTTTGATAGGCTATATTTTTCCTATCAAACTAAAATTCGTGTATATAATTAATAATTTTGCCATTGACTTGAGAAACAATTCTTGAAGTGGACTGTATTTCTAGGTTATATCAGAATTTTAAATACATCAACTGGCCTTAATTTCTTTTTGTTGAGCTGTATATTTTTATCTAAATGTATGTCATGAAGTCCTTAAAAGCCATAGTTTTGATATGCTTTCTTTTTGAAATAGTTGATTCTGCATTTGTTAGTGATTTGTATCTCCCCCTCCAAAAAAAAAAAAAAAAAAAAAAAAAAAATTGCCTTACCTGAGTACATATGTATAATTTTAAAATTTTTCTAAATCTTATTTCAGGTTACTGATATTGGAGATGCAATGATTTTAAAGCGGTTATTCACAGAAATTTTCAACAATGGAACAATACTTTTTGCTACTTCAAATCGAGCACCAGATGGTATTTTTCATAATTGATTTTTTTTTTTTTTTTTTTTTTTTTTTTTTTTTTTTTTTTTTTTTTTTTTTTTTTTTTTTTTTTTTTTTTTTCTTTTTTTTTTTTTTTTTTTTTTTTTCCCATTTTATTTTATAATGTTTGTTTTTCATTATGTAATACTCTCTCATAAGTATTTTTCTGAAAGACTGCATGAAAACTGTAAATATTTGTTTCTGCTCTTTAGAAAGTTTACTTTTCTTGCAGTTATCATTTTTATTTTTGTTTATATTACTAGAGTGCTCCTTCATTATAATGCAAGTGTAATGTCAGAATTTAAAAAAATTTTCATTTTCATGTGCTCTATAGAAAGTGAAAAATTTTCTCAATTAAAAAAAAGTAGAAATATATTTTGAAGGTCACTATTAAGCACATGTGCCAATAATTTCGTTACAGAATGGGAAGATTATGTATTGGATGATCCCAAAAATTCTCTTTTTTTTTTTTTTTTTTCCAGATCACAACATGTTTTCTTTCTTTTCTTTTTCCTTTTGCTGCTGTTAAAGAGCAGCCGTTAAAGTGGATATTTTAAAAAAAGTCCTCACGTTGCATAATTCTAACTGTGTTTTAATTTTTTTATAGTACAGTGCTAAGAATAAAGAAACTTAAAAGTTCATTTTCATCCTATTATGCTCTTTTATTTAAAAAAGGAAAAAATGCTAGTCAGACTGCTCATGAAATTTGTGCTATCTATATGATTCTGATGACACGTTTCAAAAGTGTTTTGAAAAGTGTGGAAATGTTAGTCATGTTCTGAATGACTATCCTTTGTAAACAAGGGAGGGCCTATTAAAAGAAGCTGTCACTGAAAATCCACATTATGCAGTGTAGGAAATAATATTAGAGAAACCGAATGTTCCAAAAAAGTACAGTACATAATCATTTGAAGAAGACCGTGTATGTAAACCGCTATGATGGATGAGTACCTCGTACTTGAACAGAGTAGAATATGCTTGCTGAAGTTTTAGCATGGAGCTGTTTGCTGAAAAAAATCAAGATGCTGCTTTTTTTAAATGGCTTATTACTGTAGATGAGAAGTGGATAATATCCAATAACGTTACGAAAAAAAGATCATGGAGTAAGCCAGAATTTCCTTTAGTAACAGTGAGAAGAGGCTGCTTCCCCAAAAGTAATGCTTTGTGTATGGTGGGATTACAAAGGAATTTTAAATTATGAATTGTTGCCTTCAAATCGAACAATAAATTCAGCAAAACACTGTTCCTAAATGACAGAAAACTCGTTGGATCATCAGTGATGGGTGGCCCTGGTGATCATCTTACCATTCTCATATGATTAACAGTGTCGTTTGGTTTCATTCAGTTTTAACAATTTATATAAATCAAAGAACATCTTTTTTGAAAGGCACTATTGTTTTCCGGTGTAATTTTTTAAAACTTACTTAAATTTACTGTAATTCCCCCACACTCATGTCCCATAAGTTGACTCCTACTGATCATCAGCCCTTAGGTCACCAGTTACTTTTGATCAGCCTTGGTGTGCTTTAACTGTAATTTTGAAATATTTGTTGTACTGTTGCACATAGGTGACTTAGTGGGTTTACCTTAAGCAAACCTCAACTTCATGGTATCAGAGATCGAGAGCCTTGATAGCATCAGTGTGCTGCAATTTAATTCAAAATATGTACTAAAATTTACTATGCTTCCCCAAACTTGTGATATAAGTATTGATCTATTTTGAGTTTGATTTGAAAAATCTATCTAAATTTACTATGTAACCATGTACTGGTGCTTGTCAACATGTAGGTCACTGGTGACCAAAGCACTTATGTGCACTGGTGAGCTTTAATTTAATTTTAAAATCTTAATTTACAGACTGTTGACCTATGAATTGACTACCAGTGCTGTCAAATTTGTTAGTCATCAATAAAAATGGTTTAGGTTTGCGCTAATGTCTTTTTTTTTAATTGATTGAATGACACTAATATGTTTTCATTTAATTTTAATATATAATTAAATGTGCTGCTTTACCTTAGACCTATGATTATGGATTGATACCTAGTGATCCTCATTGTGTAGCTCACCAAGGATAAAAGCCTTGATGGGCACTAGTATGCTTCAGTTTAATTTTGTTTAAATATATGTTTAAATTTAGTGCACTGCTCCACACGAGGGACCTTTGAGTTAACCCTCAAGTTGTAGACTACTAATAAGTAATTAACAAGTAGACTACTAATTAGTAGTCTTGAATTTTTATGCTTCAGGTTTAAATTTAAAATCCATCTGAATTCATTGCATTATGTCTCATCACTTGACTACAGGTGACCCTGAATATATAATTTTACCAATGACCAATATCCTTTGCAGGCAACAGTAGGATTTATTTTAATTTAAAGATTTAACAAAGTGTACTCTCCTGCCCTACATCAGTAACCCTATGGTTTCATCTTTAATGACCATTAATCTGTAGGCCACAGTAGCCTAGAGACTTTATGGTTATCAGTGTGCATGTTAAATAGTATAAATGTCTATTTTATATCTACTGCATTCCCCTATTTTGATAATATATGGGCTGATCCCAAGTAGCTCTCAACCTGTAGGCTGCTGCTGACTAACAGTTTTAATGATCATTGGCATCTTTTAGTTTAATTTACAAATCTGTCTAAATTTACTGCATCACAGCATACTTGTCATCCATGGTTTGATCATAAATGACTTGTAGGTCAACAGTGAACAATACTTTTAATGAGAACTGGTATGACTTATTTAATATCTACAGCACTATTAATGAAAGATGATAAGATGATCTATACCTGATATACAGAATCTTTTACTCTCCCTCTCCTAGTCTACTATTAAAACTTTGATGACAGATAATTGCACACTTTTAATAGAATTCATATTTTGGATTTCTAGCTTGTTGATTGGAAGGAATTGAGCTATATGCCTTCTCACTTTTCACTCCTGTTAAGTCTAGATTTAATTAGAAATCAAAATTCTATAAAAGACATTTTGCTGCTGCCTGTGTTATTTCAGGAGCTTCTGTTTTACAGTTTTAAATAAGGATGAGATATTTGAATACTTAAATCCTATAAATCTAAAATTCAAAATTTCAAAACTTGAATCTTAGAAATTGCTTAGGATTGGGGAGCCAAAGAAGTCCATTTTTTGTACTTGTGTTATTTTTACATATTTTAATTATCATGGCTTCAAAGAGGGAAAGATTAACATTAAAACAAAAGGTTGATTTAATTCATGTAGCAGAAACTGAAAAGCTTAGTTTGAGAAATGCAGGGCAGAAATAAGTAAGAATCAAGTAATTCATGTACTAAAGGGGCCCACCAGTGGCCGAGCGGTAAAGTCGCTGAACACTCGTAGTTCGGTCCGAGGTTCGAATCCCACGAACAGGCTGGCTGCATGGGTGTTTTCATCATGTGTAACATGTATACAAGCCAGTTTACCTTAGAAAGTCCTCCACGAAGGCATCCCTCCCCTTAGGCAGATAGCCCTAGTGTGCTTTGCCATAATTAAATACACCACCACCATGTACTAAAGGATAGAGAAGTAAAATTACTGTGGATTACTAATTCAAATGAACATTCCATAACTGTAAAATTTAGAAAAACTGAAGCATGGTAAATTGATAATGTTAATTTCATGTTCAGTTAGTTTTGTTTTTAATAGCAAACCATATTCCTTTAAATGGAATATTATTGCAAGGAAAGGCAAAAGAAATTTCAGAAAGTCTGGGACTACAGAAACATCAAATGGTTAGTTAGAGTAATTTAAGCAAAGACATAACATTACTTTTAAGGCTGTTTGTGGTGAAAAAAAATCAGTAGATGTGCAACATGTAACAGACTGGATTAAATTGGTAAGTGAAATTTGTGAGGCTAAAAACATCTACAGTGCAGATGAAATTGGAATATTATATTGAGTATTGCGAAAGAAAACTTCATACTTTAAAGGAGAAAAGTGCTCTGGTGGTAATAGTTCTAAGGAACACCTCTCTGTGCCATGTCTCATTATGTTGTTATTGTAACATGGATGAGAATTTGAGCAACCACTTGTTAAAAAAAAGGGGGGGCTCCTTCAACCACATCAATCCAAAATCTTTATGGATGCTTTGGCATCACAGTAAAAGGTCATGGATGACACAAAGCATAATGAAATCAATGGTTTATCACTTAATGCATAATTACAGCCTTTGGACCAAGGTATAATTAGAACCTTTAAGATTCATTGCAGAAAACTGTTTTTATGGCATATTCTTTGTCAAGCTGCTTGTGGAAACAGCGATCAGCTTGCAAAATGTGTCAGTGTATTGAATGCCATTCGGTGGATAACAAAAATCTGTGTCACAAAATTATATTCAGCTCTGTTTTAAGAAAGTATCTGAAATTGCAATTTCGATATCCCTCAATGAAGATACTACTGATGAAAGTGAATTGTTTGGACTTGTCAAAATCAGTGGCAGTGCTCCAATGTAAGAGTATTTAGAAATTGATGAACACTTGTATGCAAAAGATGCCAATGACAATGTAAAATCTTTTATTTCAACTGTAGTTGATGATGTGAATCTTAATACAGCCAAAAGTCGTTAAGCCGGACTCATCGGGACTTTGGCGATTCCGGATTATAGATCATCAGTTTAAATCTGGTAAGATGGTCAGCAGAAATTATAAAATTAAAAATATGAAACCGCAATTTATGAAATAAAGAGCAATTATGATCTAAAGGGTATCAAAATTTCCAAAAAAAAAGCTTAATATTTATTTGTTTACTTTATTAAACATTTCTTTCAATGTAAGTTGTTTAAGTTGCTTCATTTTATGTGATAATACTTTCTCTTTAATTTTATAGAGAGACATAATTTCTTGTTCAGTTACAAAGTTCTGCTGTTCAAGTTCTATAATTGCTGTGTCGAGAATACCGACTAAGTTGTCAGTTGAAATTTTTTCGTTTTCAATAACTTTTGTGTCACTTCACTATCGGAAGCAAATTATAATG